TAAAATAAGAATTCTGGACTTTAACACAACTCTGGCCCACAGGTTTCAGATAAGGACTCGTGCATCGATACGTAAATCTCCTTCATTGGAGACACGTTAGCAATTCCTGAATTTTCCTGTGCTTGTGCTATATCAGAAAACAGAATGCGAGTGGATGTCAAAGGGGCCAAATTATGATGCTCATGTACTCGACGTACTAGGGCCTTCATGGGCCTCTCCCTCCATTAAAAATAAAAAGGGCCAGCCGAGTGGCGCGATGGTTAAGAGCTGGCTTGGGATGCTGGAGGGCCCCGGTTCGGATCCCACATATGAGGGCCAGTGACACTGCCCTCTACAGCTAAGATGCTGAACAATAGCTCAACCTGGAGCTGGGCTGCTGTGAGTCGCCGGCGACGGCGTAGGCTGCAGCCCCTGCGGCAGTGGGTTGCCATGGGCTACCGTGTGTAGCCAGCAGCCAGCGTGAGCGGCCAGCAGCTGCTGTGAGCGGCCATCCAGAGGCCAGCGACTGATCTGCCTCACCCGGGAAGAGTGCAATGATGGTGCCAACTTGGGCCAGTGTGAAGCAACGTCCTCCACAACTAGACTGAAGAACAAAACGAAAGCAACTTGTCTGTTCCCCTTCCCCAATTCCCCAGCACTGTTCCCATCCCCCCAATTCCCCAATAAAAATATTTAAAAAAAAAAAGTAAAAATCATACTTTATGATCCCATTGCTATAAAGATGAATGTAATCCAAGCTGGATTATATTAATTATTTTGCTGATTTTAAAAGAAATTAAAATCTTTGCTTAAATTATCATGGGCTGTAGGGCCCTGTGCCTTCTGTGCTTAAGGAGAAGTCAGCCCTGGGTGTCAATGATGGTATAATGGGGCTCAGATCAGACCCCCGGACATGAGTTAAGTAGGATACACTTCCTGGAAAGTAAATTAAGTGTTAGTTAGATTGGGAGCTGGTGAAGTAAAGACTAGGATTGAGTGGAAGTGGCAGGATAGAGAATAAAAAAAGGAAAGTGTTGCTGGTTAAATTATTTCCCTCCTCCCAAAAGATATGTCGAAGTAGTTTTAACCTCTGTACATGTGAACGTGACCTTATTTGGAAATAGGGTCTTTACAGATGGAATCAAGTTAAAATGAGATCACACTGGATTAGGGTGGGCCCTACTCCAATGACTGGTGTCCTTATAAGGGGAGAGACATTTGGACACAGACACACACAGGAAAGATGGCCACGCGAAGATGAAGGCAGAGGTTGTAGTGATGCAGGGAATGCCAAGGAGTGCCTGCCACCATCAGACGCTAGGGGAGAGGCATGAGACAGATTTTCCCTCTGAGACCCCAAGAAGAAACCAGTCCTGTCGAAAACACCTTGATTTTGGACTTCCGGCCTCCAGAATTGTGAGAGGATAAACTTCTGTTGTTTTGAGCCACCAAGTTTGTGGTACTCTGTTACAGCAGCCACAGGTAAATGGCTGAACTTGAGACAAGTTCAAGCTGCCAGGAAAAGCCCTTTGTCCGGACATGTCAGTGAGCTCACTGCACAGAACACCCTGAGGAGGATGACTGGGTTTTCATGGTCTGGATCTTTCACTGAGTGTTCCCAGAAAAAAAAAATTGAGACCCATTCCTGTAAAGAAACCATGAGTCACACCCCAAAAGAAATCTGCTTATCATCCCCTCCCTGACAAATACAGCTGTTGCTAGCTATTGAGGAAGTGATTTCACAACTATTTTCCTATTTTCTGCACAGAATCAGTTCTTTAGTTGAGTCCATGGCACACGATGAGCCAGTTCTCTCCTTTGAGTTCTGAAGGAGCCCAATGGTGCAATGAAAACGGCCTGTCTCAGTCCTCGCCCAAATATTCCTCCTCAACTTGGACCCCAGCGGACACCGAAAACACACTTTTGAAAGACCAGTGCAGTTTGAAGGACAGCTCAGAAAAGTCTACCTTTGCTGAGGCACCTGGGAGTCAGAGTGAGCCACAGGGCCACCCCCAGAACCCAGCCCATGGGGTAAGAGCTGTGGGCAGGGCAAAGACTTGGTGCAAAAAACCTGATCCTGCTAAATAAATGCTAAAATAAATCCTGCAGGTTTTCCTAATAATCTAAGGTGAAGATGGTCTGTGAGGTGCCCAACACTGGCTTTTTGAAACAAATGGCTTTTAATCTTTGCATACCCCTTTCCTAGGCTGCAAGCAGTGATTTTGTAATGATGCCTCCTTCTCTGTCCTCAAAGCCTTCCTTTGCCAACATGTGGTTTGCTTCAGCCCATCTCCTCAGCTGCACCCCTTTCTCAGGATGGGTCCTTCTGATGCCCCGTAATACTAAAGTGTGAAGAGAACCTATTGATTATAAGATGTGATTAATCCCCCGAATTGAATGACTTAGTTGTTTGGCCATGACGTGGGATTCAACCAGAACTGATTTTTTGCCAAACTGGAAATATTTCTAATTTTTCATGGGTTCTGGTTCATTCACATTGAGTATGTTGACAACTGGTACATTATGAAAGTAAATTAATGAAGAAATGGTTGTACAGATAGGATTTATCACCTTAGGTGAAATTTACAATTAATAATAGATACTTTATTTTACCTATTTCAAATTTGATGGATTCACTAACAGCTTTGGAAGACAAAGGAAACCACTACCACATTAAATGCACATCTCAATGAAGGGATGGATCCTTATTTCATATACCTAAAAATAATAAAAATTATTCTATGTGAATTCCAGGAAATATGGTGCACTCTCCCATGAGGCAGACACTGGGCTGAGAGCGAGTCATTCATTTCCTGGTTTAATCCTACAAATCAGTGAGGTGGATGTCATCAGAAGCCCCCGTTTTACAGATGTGGAGCCTGAGGCTTCACAGAGGCTGATTTACCCAAGGACACTCAGATGGTAGGCAGGTGGCAAAGGTGAAACGGAGCCTACATGCACCTGAGCAGTTAAGAATTTTGTAGGGCTGGAACCCAGGCGCCAGTTAGCAAGACCTGGTTTTGATTACCCACCTTGCCTTTCTGCACCAATTAGTCGACCACAGAGCACTCTGTAATCCCATAGAACTGGAAATCCACTGGTTTTAGACATACACACCAACTAGTAGCTCTTTGTAACCATCTGAAAAGTCAACACAGCCCATACATACTAACGCCGATCCACAACCACGGGTGATGCGCTTACATTTCCTGTGCCTTTATAGCCCTGAGTAGTCATAAATTGGGGATAATAGTTTAAAAAATAACAAATCCTTCAACTCCATTTAATAACTCAGCTAAACTCAAATACGTTCCATTGGAACGATGTTCCCCTCAATAGACCCAGGAGGTGACACTAAGACACAAACAACCTCCAACTGAGTTTCAAGGATGAGCCCTGGGGAATGACACCCTCCCTTAAGGGACACACCTCCATAATTCATAAGTCTGGGGTTTCCATAAGACAGCCTCCTGTCTCATAATCCTCCATGCCATGTCAGGATTATTACATGGAAGGATGAAGGGCAGGCAACTGGAGCAGAAAATAAACTTCATCAACTGCCCTCACCCTGCTCCCCAGCCTCGGCTTTTCAGATAAGTCATTCCCGGAACTGTTATTTTGTTCTCTGAAATCAAACCAAGGGGCTAATGAATAAGCTTCAGATCTCCCTATAGCCTTGTCACCCCTAAAAAAGGACTGTGCTCTTTAGTGAAAGGACTGAAAGAGCTGTCCAGGGACTGCTGTAAGGCAGTGGTCCTCACCTGTGGCTGCACATTGAGATACCTGGAAAGTTAGAAAGCTACACTGCCCAGCTGCCACTCCCCAGGATTTTGATTTCATTGGTCTGGGGTTCAGACCCACAGCGGAGCGTTTTCAAACCCCCTCTGTGGTTCTAAGACACAGTCCAGGCTACGCCCATGCTCTGAGGCCAGGAATCAGCTAGGTTTTTGACTTCCACCTCCCACCTGTGGGAGGGAGCCAGGGAATTATTCTAAGTGTAATTTGATTTTATTATTATTCTATTTTCCACTTCCTTACAATATATTGGCTACTGCAGCAGTTTACAAACATAAAATAGAAATTAACTTCCATTGCCATTCCACACGTGTCATTGGCCCTGTTGGCTCAATTCCTTATGGGCCATTGAAGTTATTTTGTAAAGCATCATAAATTTCAGCGCAGAATTAATTTACTTTCAAGGTCTATAATGGGCATCAAATGGATGCAGAAACACTTACCTAAAAAACTTAAATATACGTTGAAGGATGGTAAAAAATGACTCCAAGAACTTTAATAAGCACTAAGTGAGCGTGGAAAAAATATAAGGTAAATTTTGGATGAGCTTCTCTTGCAATCAGACTCCTCAATTGTCCTTAGATCTCATTGTGTTTTCTAGAAAACGTATCATTTTTAAAAATTATAAAGTTTGTTTTTCAGTCTGCCAGTTCTTGACAATAACAAAAACTGACCACCTGCTATGCCTAAACACTAGAGTATGTAAGTTTAGAAATAGTAACATGTTACTTAAAAACTCCTACCCAGAAAAGTAATTAATATTGAACATTATGCTCCTTGTAGGATGTTAATTTCAGGCTTTGCCTTGGCACTAGCAAGTGACTAGTGAGTATGCGAGGGGGCAGAGTTTGTCCTTTTCTTTAGAAGTAGCAAAGGAGAAAAGCCTTCCCACCCACTTCACCTCCAACCCATCGGCTCTAGAAGAGAATATTGTTTCTGGCAGGACCAGAAAGTAACGTTCCAGTTCAATTTCTAACTTGGAATTGGCTTCTTTTGCTGTCCAAAAGAATAAGACCACTGCATTTGATTTTCAAAATTTCCTGCATACCAGTCCACTTTACCTACATTTAGAGTTGTTTCAGTACGTCACTTTTTTATCCTTATTTGCCCATTCATCACTTAACTCTGTTCACACCATTAACTCTGTTCACATCAAACCATATTTTGGGGTTCAGAAATCATATATTTTGCTGGAAAGCTTTGTTAAAAGAATAGAAGCGACTTACCCCTTTTCTGCTGTTGGTCCTCCTAATCTCTCATTCCACAGCCTGCATGCACGCAGCACAGCAGAATGGTACCCTCTGTATGGTGGATGCACACGAAGAAGATGCACACACTGGCCAACTTCCTAAATTGGTCACTTTACCATCAGTGGAACCCAGCATGTGGTTTGCAGAAGTTTATGTGGGAAGGAGGAAACGGATTTCTTCACTGTTGCTAAATTAGTTATTGACTGTGCTGCAAAATTTCAAAACTGAAATCGGGGGGAGAAAAGTCATTTATAAAATGATTTAAATAAAACCCGAGCTACAGATACATGGTGTATTTCTGTGAGTTTGTGTATATTTGTGTGTATGTGTGGCTGTGGCTGCAAGGAGCCTCCCCAAACTGTTACAGCAGTTAGTTCTGAAGAGTAATGTTAAGGGGAAATGAGGGAGAGAATTGGGGACATTTTTTTTTTACTTAAAAAAACTCTAGGGTGTTTTTTTTCCAATTATAGTTGAAATTCTATATTATTTTGTATTAGTTTCAGGTGTACAGCATCGTGGTTAGACATTAATAGAATTTACTAAGCGATGCCCCCAATAAGTCTAGTATCCATCTGGCACATACACTTATTATAATATCATTGACTGTATTCCCTATGCTGTACTTTACATCCCAGTGACTATTTTGTAATCACTAATTTGTACTTCTTAATCCCTTCCCCTTTTCCACCCAGCCCTCTAGCCCCCTCCTATCTGGAAGCCATCAGCTTGTTCTCTGTATCTATGTGTCTGTTTCTGGTTTTTTTTTTCTGTTAGATTTTTTTTGGTTTATTTATTTTATTCTTTAGATTCCATATATAAGTGAGATCATATGGTATTTGTCTCCCTCTTTGACTTATTTCACTTAGCATAATACCCTCTAGGTCCATCCATGTTGTTGCAAATGGTAAGATTTCATTCTTTTTTATAGCTGAGTAATGCTCCATTGTATCGTGTATGTACCACCTCTTTAGTCATCTATTGATGGACATCTAGGTTGCTTCCACATCTTGGCTATTGTAAACAGTGCTGTAGTGAACATAGGGGTGCATATATATTTTAGAATTAGTGTTTTGGATTTCTTCAGATAAATACCCAGGAGTGGAATTGCTGGGTCATATGGTAGTTCTATTTTTAATTTTTTTAGTAACCTCCAAACTGTTTTCCATAGCGACTGCACAAATTTGCAGTCCCACCAACATTGTACAAGGGTTCTGTTTTCTCCACATCCTCACCAACACTTGGTTTTTTATTTATTGATGATGGCCATTCTGAGGGGTGTGAGGTGGTATCTCATTGTGGTTTTCATTTGCGTTTCTCTGATGATGAGTGATGTTGAGCATCTTTTCATATGTTTGTTGGCCATCTGTATGTCCTTTTTGGAGAAATGTCTCTTCAGGTCCTCTGCCCATTTTTCTGATTGGACTTTTTTTTTTGGTGTTGAGTTATATGAGTTCTTTATAAATTTTGGATGTTAACCCCTTATCAGCTGCATCATTGGCGAATATCTTCTCCCATTCAGTAGGATGTCTTTTCATTTTATTGATGGTTTCCTTTGCTGTGAAAAAAGTCTTAGTTTGATGTAGTTCCATTTGTTTATTTTTTTCTTTTGTTTCCCTTGCCCCAGGAGATATATCAGAAAAAAATATTGCTAAGGGCCATGTCGGAGAGCTTATTGCCTATATTTTCTTCTAGGAGTTTTATGGTTTCAGGTCTTACAATTAAGTCTTTAATCCATTTTGAGCTTACTCTTGTATTTGATGTAAGAAGGTGGTCCAGTTTTCCCAGCACCATTTATTGAATAGACTATCTTCACCCCATTGTGTATTCTTGTCTCCTTTGTCATAGATTAAATGACCATATAGGCTTGAGTTGATTTCTGGGCTCTGTTTCATTGATCTATGGAGTTGTTTTTATGCCAGTACCATGCTATTTTGATTACTGTAGCTTTGTAGTACAGTTTGATATCAGGTAGTATGATGTCTCCAACTTTGTTCTTCTTTCTCAAGATTGCCATGGCTATTCAGGTTTTTTTTTTTTTACGGTTTCATATAAATTTTAGGATTATTTATTCTAGTTCTCTAAAAATGCCATTTGGTATTTGATAGTGATTGCACTGAATCTATAGATTGCTTGGGCAGTATGGACATTTGAATGATGTTAATTCTTCCTATCCATGAGCACAGTATATGCTTTTATTTATTTGTATCTTGTTCAATTTCTTTCTTCCATGTTTTATAATTTTCCGAGTACAGGTCTTTTACCTCCTTGGTTAAATTTATTCCTTGGTATTTTATTTTTTTGATGCAATTGCAAATGGGATTGTTTTACTAATTTCTCTGATAGTTTGTTATTGGTTTATAAAAATGCAAGAAATTTCTGAATATTAGTTTTGTATCCTGCTACTTTACTGAATTCATTTATCAGTTCTAGTAGTTTTTTGGTGGAATCTTTGAGGTTCTCTATATACAGTATCACTACAAATAATGATAGTTTTACTTCTTCTTTTCCAGTTTGGATGCCGTTTATTTTCTTCTCATTTGATTGCTGTGGCTAGGACTTCCAATATTATGTTGATAGGAGAATAGAAGAAAGTACTCAGATTACTTGATTATTTTGATTTGAGTTTTCCTTTTATAAAAATTACTTCTATGTTTTTATGGTGACTTGAGAATTAGTTAATAAATAGTGTAGAAATGCACAAACTTTATCCCAATAAGAATAAAAATCAAGGAAAACCACAATTAAGAAAAACCCTGAAAGGTATACACATTTTATCACACACACTCACACACACACACACACACACACACACGTCTATTTTGTCTGAGATAAGTACTGCTACCCCACCTTTTTTTTTTTTGTATTTTTGGTTTCCATTTGCATGAGATCTTTTTCCATCCCTTTACTTTCAGTCTCTGTGTGTCTTTTGATCTGAGGTGGGTCTGTTGTAGACAGCATATGTAAGGGTCTTGTTTTCTTATCCACTCAGCTATAGGGTGTGTTTCTGTTTTGTTCTGTTTTTTTTTTACTTTACCACAAAAGTGTACTCCATTTAGTATTACCTAAACTCATCTTTCGTTATATAACTAACAGATGTAGTTAAATAACATATGCATTGCTTCATCTTTGTTACACTGATTTCCAAGACAGCACATAGCAAGGTGGGTGTGTGTTCCCCACCAGGCTGTGGCTGTTGAGAGGGCATCTTTCTCCTGGGTGTCCCTGCACCTCAGCCAGTGCCTGGCACATAGTATAAGCTCCATAAATGTTCATTGAATGAATGATTGAGTGAACGGATGACTGTGAGCATTCATGAGGCAGGAAAAATTCATTTCTGGATTTGGCCTGATAAGTGAATTGGATTGTAAGCTCTCAGGAAGAGGGCCTCAGAGATTTAACCAAGAGCAGAGGTCAGCAGAAAACAGGCTGTGGGCCAAGTCTCGCCCATGGGTGAAGAACTTTCACAAAGGAAATTTTGCAATTGCGTTGATGATGAAGAACATCAACTTTAAACTCCAGTTAGACAAAATATTATCATCCCCCAAAGCATCGCATTCTTTTCATTATGAGACCTATATTACACAAAACTGCACTCGATTATTATATTTTGAAGCTTATTAAATAATTGTGCAATTTGTTGCAATTTGTTTTTTTCCTTTTTAGTATACAAGTATCTACACAATGTCCCCAATTTGCCTCTTTGCCTTACTGAAAACATTTGCTGACCCCTGGCCAAAAGAATCATTTAGGGGTGGCTGGTTAGCTCAGGTGGTTAGAGCGCAGGCTCATAACACCAAGGTTGCTGGTTTGATTCCCACATGGGCCAGTGAGCTGTGCCCTCCACAACTAGATTAAAAAACAACTACTTGACTGGGAGCTGGTGGGTCCTGGAAAAAACAACCCCCACAACTAGATTGAAACAACTACTTGACTAGGAACTGATGGGTCCTGGAAAAACACATTGTTCCCCAATAAAATTTCTTAAAAAAAACATAACAAAAAGAATCATTTGGAGTTGAGTAGAACATGAATCATCTTGCCTTACACTCCTTGAATTGGAGAAAAACAAACTGGGGACAGAGTGGGTAGGGGGTGACATTTACACACACACACACACACACACACTCACACACACACACTCACACACACACTTTATTATTATTTTCCCTCAGGCCTTCAGTCTCCCTCCCTTGTATAACCTTTCTCTGTGATAACATATGAACTATGGAAAATCTTGCTATGAAGCAATGCCTTTCAGGGCTCATCTGCTTGGGTGGCCATTCCTAATTTCACCTCTAACGACTGGTCCCTCCAGCGATTCAAGGCCTGATGTGTGGTTTGAGGAGGGATTGCCATGCCATCAGGGAACATAGCCCATGGCTTCATAGGCTCACCAAAATCGTTCATGATGGTGAGCTCGAAGACCTCATCTGGCTGCCACCCAGTTTCTTGGTTTTCCTTGACATGTTTGCTCAGAAATGAAATTTAAAAAGGTAAGTAAAAAGGACTGCCAGTAGAGTACTGAGGCTGAAGCATTGATCCACCTTTCTAGAAATGCCACACACACATGCCCTGGCTTCCAGGACACAATGTGTCATCCAATTATAAACCAGTTAATTGGGATCTCATTAAGCGTGGCGCAGGCTAGGGTGATACTTGCCAACAGTCTAGTGCCCTTGCCAGGCAAACTCATAAAAATGAGCCAGTGATTCAAACCAAATGAGCCTTCCCAGGTTGTTTCCATACAACCAGTAACCATAAAAGTTAAAAATGGAAATAGAATCAACACCAGGGCAGGACAGTCACTGCAAACCAGAAATTTAGTCCCCCGAGGAAAGAAAGTGGCCAGAGGATCTATCCCTCTGCCTGAGCCCAGAAACTAGCACTCAGTGGCCAGGTCTGTTCGCCCTGCCCTGCCCTGGGAGGGCACAAAGCTCTTGGGCATCTCTTTGCTGTTCTTCCCCTTGCCATCCATACTGACTCAGACCTTTATTTCAAAATGGAGATGATCTGATATTAAGTGCCCCTTCCAGGCAAGCCAACCAGGCAGCATGGATGTCCCAGATACACAAATGACCAGCTGGAGCAGATGCACCTCTCTGAGCCTCCATTTTTTCATCTCTCAAA